TTTATTACTTTACCCAATAAATAACGGACTTTATTCATAAAGCCCAGAAAACTTAATTATTTCAATAGGTTTTAGCATATTGCCTTATCATATTCCATTATTCATATTGCCCGGGAATTATTAATAATGAACTATTAATCACTTGGTTCTAGATTGGCAGTCTCGTACCGGAAAACGAAGTGTGGGGCGTCCCCCCACTAAATGGAGTGACAACCTGGTAAGACATGCTGGAAGTCAATGCGTGCTAATAGCTCAGGACCGTGGTTTGTGACATTCCTTGGGGGAGGCCTATGATCAGCAGCAGACTTGTGAAGCGGTCCAGGAGAGCTCCATATCATATGTATATATTATACAATATGTGGTAACAAAATAAAAATTGTGCTTATGTAATTTTCATACACTTCTTGATTATGATGTGCCGAAATGTTGATATAATTCCCTATCTCTATAATTCTCAAAGAAACACAGATAAAAAGTAATTTCATCGATCCAGCCTTATTGAGAACAATCGTTTTGTGTCTGAATATTCGCTATAAAGTCACCCTAATCTAACATTTCCATATAGTACCTTTTCATTGAATCCTCTTTAGCAAATGTAGTTTATTACCTTTGTGTGGAGTGTTCAATGTATTCAAAATACAAAATATCTTTGTTTGTATTGGTAGTGGGGTCAAGATAAAACCCAGTGAATTTTGATACAATGGACGGTTACTTCTATAGTCGTTGCGGTTGGACATAAAGTGCTCTTGTTAGCGGTTACGATCATTATTCAACTATTATTATTCTCACTGCCTTATATTCGCATCCGTATGTCTTGGCTTCCATTTTGTATAAATTTTATGTAACTTAAGAGTGTCATTTGAGGGAAAAAATATCATTTATAATAAATTTAAAGCCGACTTCAAAAACTTGATGATCACAATAAAAACTTCATGAAAACTTTTACCACACTTAGAGAAGCAACATTTGCTCCCAAGGTAACCACTCTAAAATGGGGCTACCCCTGAAATATTATCTTTTAATAAAAGATCTTCATCTAAATAAGTTCACAATTGGCGAAGATATCGCGTAATAGACACAAAAACATACAGACGAATTGTGAACCTCCTCCTGTCTTTGAAATTGGCTAATTATAAGGTCGTGTTGTATTTTAATAGATGCTGTCAAAAAGAAGACATCACTTAATTTCTTACGTTACTTTGTTTACCATAACATGCTGTCTTAGCAAAATATACCCACATTGTAATTTGACGAAAGTTCAGACGCTGGCAAATTATTTTATTTTAAAGAAATCACACAGTCGAACTGAGTACCGTCTCCATTTTGAAGTCTGTAGAAAAGCGTGGCATGTAAACTTCTACTTACTTTTACTTTTACACAGTAAAAGATTTTCTGAAATATAAATTAGATTAGGTACAAAAGTGACACTATATGTATTATATAGATTCAATTAAGTTTTTTTTTCTAAATCTGTGAATTATTGAATAACTTCTTTGCTTTGAACAAGTCATATAAGCGGTAGACATATTAATTAATAAAAAAATGCCTGTTAACATCAAATATGTCAATGTTTTACTAAATTCAAATGTATGATATTACTATTCAGAATAATTAAAACAATATTGTTAAGTTATATTTCATAATTTGTTAACAGGTGCAGTAATTATTATCATTTATAGCCATCTTATTGTTATAATGACTTTGTGAAAAATGAATAAACAATTGTACTATTTTTACGCCGACACAATATATATAAAACACGTAAATGATCCTAAAAGTTATTATGCAACAACTTATTGTACCATGTCTCTGAAATAATAATGTTAAGCGCCACCATTAATCCCTGGTAAATGGCAACACTAGTTACTACTAGCGCCCTCTAGTATCGCGTGGTTGAACTAGGAGAGTCAAGATTATTCTAGAAATTTCCATGAAGGACTTTATAGAACTATCGACACCTGGTCAATAGGGACCGGCATGTACTCGAACATTCTATATGTTTCTACAGTAGAAGATTCTGGAACTATCTGAGACCCTATATAAGGCCGGTATAGACCGCGACCGGAGTTAGTGTTGAGTTAGCGATATAACTGCGAACTAAATTGATCAGTAGTACAATTGTGTTTTGTTATTAGTGTGATTTTAAGTTGTAATTAGTGTTCTGTAATTAAAGTATCAATTTTGGTAATTCACTCGGCAGTTTTTAATTGTCTCGAACCCCATGCTTGTAACAATAAATAAACAAATGTTAGGAATCCGTCAAAATATATCCTTTATTACATAATCCACACAAGTTTATTCCGTGTAATTTTATTTCAAGAACATTTAGTTACATATTAGTATTAATATTTCCTTTTTTATAAACGACATTTATTGTATTAATATTGTTACGCACTACTATTAATGTCTTGTACATGACAACACTAGTTACCACTAGCGCCCTCTAGTATCAAGTAGCAGAACTAGGATAGTCGAGGTATTTCTAGAAATTTCGGGACCGATATGTACTCGAACATTCTAGATGTTTCTACAGTAGAAGGTTCTGGAAACTATCTGATGCCCTATATAAAGCCGGTACAGACCACGACCGAGTCAGCATTGAATTGGCGATACAAGCGAATACTTCGAAGCGAAATAACTGCGAACTAAAGTGATCAGTAGTACAATTGTGTTTTATTATTAGTGTGGTTTTAAATTATAATTAGTGTTCTGTAATTAAAGTGTCAATTTTGGTAATTCAATCGGCAGTTTTTAATTGTCTCGAACGCCAAGCTTGTAACAATTGTTGTCAAGTGGGATCAAATCATGCCGATTTTACCAAAGGACGACATGGAGGGTATCCGTACCCGAAGTCAACGCCAGCTGGAGACAGACCAGAGACGATTTGGTAATGCAACGCCGCAAACGTCGGAGGGCCAGCTGCTGACCACGGAGGCCGGCCCGTCAGCAGTTCCTGCATCTGCAGCACCTGACTTAGGTGCTCTGATGATGATGGTGCAGGAGCAAGCTCGCAGACAGGAGGAACAGGCCCACCGACAGGAGGATTAGTCCCGCCAACAGGAGGAACAGGCCCGTCGGTTGGAAGAGCAGCTGCAGCGCGGACAGGAGGAACAGGCTCGTTGTTTGGAAAGGCAGCTCAAACGTGATAAAGAAGAGCAGATGCTCCTCATGAAGGACCTTCACGCTACCTTCGGGAAAGAGATAAGGGAGGTGAAGGATAGGGTTGCTCAACATGACAACCGCCTGTCGGAAGCTGAAATCTGAATCGACCAAGTGTCCAATCGAGTTGACAACGTGATGGCTGACGACCTCAAACTTGGGAATGGAGTTACAGCTCCTGTGGTAGCTACAACACCTTCGCTACGTGGATTCAAAGTGCCACCGTTCGACGGGACTTCTTCCTGGTCGGCCTACAAAATCCAGTGCAAGGCTGTCATGAAGGCGAACAGCGAACTGGAATAAAAGTTAGGCCATGACTGCTCTTACCCTAGGCCTGCGGTACCAGGCCTTATCTGTTCTGGAAGCTCTCGGTACGGAAGTGACTTACAAGCAGCTCCTTGAGGCATTGGAGGTAAGATATGGCGACGCTCACCTGGAACACATCTTTCGTGGGCAGCTCAAAGATCGCGTGCAATGCAGCAACGAAAACCTACAGCAGTGGGCTCTTGAGGTGGAGAAGCTACTTCAAAAAGCATACCAGTCTGTACCTGCGCTCATCGTAGGGAACCTGGTGCAGAATTCATCGACGGCATCCGCGATCTTGAAGTCAGAGCTGCTCTGAGACTCGGGCACCACGAGACGCTTAAGGTAGCGTTGGCCCATGCACTGAAGGTGGAAGTCGTGCGACAGGATCATCGTTCCTATCGCGTCAGGGAGGTTGCAGCAGGTACAGTTCGCGATCGCAATAAAGGTTACAGTCCTAAGTGCTACGGCTTTGGGGAAAGGGGCCATCTTCGATCCAGCTGCCCTAAGCGAACTGTAGAAAGGGAAGGTGATCAATCTCGAGAGGGTAGTGCGGCTAACAGCACCGCCCAGGTGCAGCAGGGAAACGAGTAAAAGCCAAGACTGCGAGGCAGGTGCTGGCTGATGTTAAAAGAGCCCTAAGGATTTCGGTCTCACAAACCCATGATTGGAACAGCCTAATCATCAAGGGCGACGTCAACGGAACGCCGTGTAAACTGACCATAGACACTGGATCCTCTCGCACGGTTGTCAGTTCTCAACTTATAAGTCAGTTCCTTGGGGACTCCGCATACAACCGAGAAAAAATTAATTGGGTGATAGCCACCGTCAGCGCATACCTGTCCGTGGAGAGAAGAAGATAGAGTTGAAGATAGGCAACATGATCTACCTGCATAATGTCATCATAGCTGATATAATGGACGAATAGTTGTGAGATCGACGTTTAGCAAGGTGTTTTGAAATGTGGACAAGAGACACTTTTCGTAGAAGGGGCGTTACCAGGGAATGTGTACAGCCTTAAGAAGATTGTTCTTCCGCCGAGGTCAGAATCGATTGTGCCGGTTAGTTTTCCTCGGAATCCTGGGCAAACTCTTCGTTGTGTACTCGTGAAAAGGGTAGACAATGACCCTCCATGGAAAGTGGCTCGAAACTTAGTCAGAACCGCCGACATCTCAGGAGTACGTGTGCTGAACCTTTGTGATCAGGAACAGATTATAGAAAAAAGGCACATTGGTTGGTACTAGTGAGGAAGTGGATTGGTTGCGTTGGTGCCAATATCTATCGACTGGGACCGCCAGCAAGGATGGACAAACGAGAGTGACCACACTATTAGAAAGACTATCGCAGCGTTCTCTCCCCGAATAAAATGGTCAAGGCAAAGAAGTTGATACTCAAGTACGCCGATGTTTTCTCGTCAAACGATGCTGTCATAGGAAAGACGGGCTTAGTTCAAACACGAAATAAACACAAGAGAAGAATTGCCTATCCATCAGCGGCCAAGAAGATTGCCAGTAGCACGTGAAAAGGAAGTGGAAACCATGATTGAGGGAATAGTGAAGGATGATGTTATTGAACCTTCATCTAGTCCATGGTGTTCACCTGTGGTGCTGGTAAAGAAGAAGGATGGCAGCATGCATTTTTGTGTTGACTATCGCCGTCTAAGCGACGATACGAAGGAGGACAGCTATCCCTTGCCAAGAATTGGTAACACGTTGGACATGCTTACAGGTGTAATGAGGTTAAGACGCTGGACCTGAAAAGTGACTACTGACAGGTTGAAATTGACCCTAAGGACAAGGAGGAAACTGAATTCTCCACAGGAAAGGGTCTGTGGCAATTTAAAGTCATGCCGTTTGGCTTGTGCAATGCTCCAGCAACGTTTGAAAGGTTGATGGAGCTTCTACTTACCGGGCTAATCGGCGATGCTTGTCTGGTCTACTTGGATGACATCATCATCGTAGGCCGTACGTTTGAGGAACACCTTCAAAACCTTGAACGCGTGCTCATGAAGATCCAGAGTGCCAACCTCAAGTTGAGTCCGAAGAAATGCTCACTATTCAAACGGCAAGTCAGCTTTTTGGGGTATGTAGTGTCATAAGAAGGTATCCGCACGGATCCAGAGAAAATTGCCACTGTCAAGGATTGGCCGGTTCCAAAAGAAAAGACATAGGTTAGGGTATTTTTGGGTTTATGCTCCCATTATCGGCGATTTGTGAAGAACTTTGCAGATATAGCCAAACCTCTGCACAAGCTGACCGAGGAGAAACGACATTTTTGCTGGGATGAAATTTGTGATATTGCATTCCAGCAGCTCAAGGACCGTCTGTGCCAAACACCTATTTTGGGGTGCTAATTGATGCGGGAAAGGAATTTATATTTGACGCAGACGCAAGTGATATAGGACTTGGCGGTGTGTTGTTTCAACGGAATGGTGATCAAGAGGTTGTGATAGCGTACTACAGAAAGTCAAGACCGGAAAGAAACTATTGTTTCACAAGACGGGAATTGCTTGCTGTGGTAAAGTCCTTGAAGCATTTTAGCAAATATCTTCTGGGGCGGAAATTTCACTTACGAACTGACCATGCTGCACTGAAATGGCTATTGCATTTCAAAAATCCGGAAGGACAAGTTGCGAGATGGATTGAACTACTTCAGAAATATGACATTGTGAAGATTGCAAGCATTGTACTAGGCAAGAGGGTAAGAAAGTGGTATCTATGAGAATGCTCAGGACAGACCAGCTCAGCAATGAGTGGAAGGATAGCCTACAACATGCACAGCAGGAACATTCAGCCGATTCTGGAATGGAATTAGGCCAGTGGTCCTTAGCCCAAGTGGAGCGACGTCTCAGTGATGAGTTTGACCACGAAAAGATATTGGACCCAATGGCACAGCTTGCTGATTCAGGATGAAGTCCTGTACCATAAATGGAAAAATGTTCGGGGAGACAGTTGTCATTTGCAAATGGTGGTCCCTAAGGCAAAAGTACTGGATGTTCTACAGCTGTACGGTAATGGTTGTTCAGGAGGCCACCTGGGAGTTAAACGAACTCTACTGAAGATCCGAGAACGGTTTTACTGGGTACACTGTCGTGACAATGTTGAGGACTGGTACCGCAAATGTACAAGTTGTGCGGCTGTAAAGGGACCTCAAACTCGTAGTAGCGGCGAATTTAAATTGTACAATGTTGGTGCGCCATGGGATAGGATAGCCATTGACGTTGCGGGGCACATTAGGTTTCCTGAAAATGAAAGTGGTAACAAGTATTTCATGGTTGTGATGGATTACTTCACTAAGTGGCCAGAAGTCTTCGCCATTCCAAACCAAGAAGCTTCAACAGTTGCAGATAAACTAGTTTATGAAGTCTTCTGTCGTTTTGAAATATCTTTAGAGATTCACAGTGATCAAGGAAGGAATTTTGAGTCTCAAATATTCCAGCAAACTTGCCGACTTATGAGTACTCTATAAAACAAGAACAACTTCTTACCTCCCACAATCTGATGGAATGGTAGAACGATTTAATCAGACATTGGAGAGGTACCTGGCAAGAATTGTGTAAAAACGGCAACGAGAATGGGACAGGCACATACAACCGTTTCTGTTGTCATATCGAAGCGCCGTTCACGAAAGTACATCAGTGACGCCAGCTTTCGCAAACTTTGGGAGAGAATTACGGCTATCTGCAGACCTGATCACCGGAATACCACCTGATGTCCCACGCAGACTTGCGGAACAAAATGAATGACATTTATGAGCACGTCAGACAGTCGGGCCAGCAAACGTCTGAGAAGATCAAAACGCGGTGTGACCGCAACATGAACAACAGAGGATTTGACGAAGATTCACTCCTGAGCTTCAAGCTAAATGGGACGAACCGTACCGGATTGTAACAAGGATCAATGATGTAACCTACCGGATACAGAAAGGTACCAGAGGTACTCCAAAGATCGTCCATGTGGATCGGCTGGCGCGTTATTATGGGGCCAATAATGCTCGGGACGAAAATGTCTTAGGAGGGGACAGTGTTGCGCGCCACTATTAATGTCGTGTACATGCCATCACTAGTTACCACTAGCGCCCTCTAGTATCGAGTAGCAGAACTAGGAGAGTCAAAATCCTTCTAGAAATTTCGGGACCGATATGTACTCGAACATTCTAGATATTTCTACAATAGAAGGTTTTGGAAACTATCTGAGGCCCTATGTAAGGCCGGTATAGACCACGACCGAGTCAGTATTGAATTGGCGATACAATCGAATACTTCAAAGCGAAATAACTACGAACTAAAGTGATCAGTAGTACAATTACGTTTTATTATTATGTGGTTTTAAATTATAATTAGTGTTCTGTAAAGTGTCAATTTTGTTAATTCAATTGGCAGTTTTTAATTGTCTCGAACCCCAAGCTCGTAACAATATTTATTGTCTTGGCTACAGACGGTGATAAATAGGTACCTGTGGAATTTCTTTTGCCGAATCTTTCCCGATCAGGAGAACTTTTTCATTTTTGAAAGATTAAAAACCAGAAATAGAAATAATTTTTTAATTCAATATGAATTATAAATGTTTAATTTAATACTGGTTTTGTAACTACTTCTGTCCTGGGAAGAACGGACAAGGTACAACATAAAAAATAGGAACGGTTTGTAATTATATATTATGTTATTATGTAACACAATCACATATACAAAATAAACTAGAAATAGCTTGGTAGTGATCACCTCATTTCTAGGTTTTATTATCATCCTTAAATTCTTTAATATTATAATAATCCTTTTTCTACAATCTTAGTTTAATAAAGTTTTAAATTGGCACAGGACTAATTTTGTACTCGTATATTTTTGGAACTATGTTTTCAAAGCGTATGCAACGCCCCAATAATGATTTACTAAGTCCGTAGCATCGAGTAACTGGTAAATACTAAAAGCGAGAGACTATTCGTTCCATTGCATGTTGGCGGACTACACATGTCCTTGAAACTTTTTAATTTTCCTAGCGATGTTTTCCTTCAGCCGCGAGGAAGTAGTAAATTAACACCTAAAATTGCCATTAATAATTTCACTAGCCCCGTATTGCTGGATAGCACTAGGTTTACTTGCTTACTATATAATTTACGATTAGCGTTTAACTCATGAATGATTTCTGCACATATTTCATAAATTTTTACTTAAACTTTTCTTTCGTAGCGTATCGCAGTTTTTGTTAACAATTGTTGAAAATTATGAGTCTGTGTCAATGATGTTACAATTACCCTGTGAGTTTCCTTCCGCATTTTTTTTAAAATAAGAGTACAAACGAACAGACAGTCCAGCTAGTGGTAAGTGGATGCTGTTTCCCATAGACATCTATATCTACCATCAATTAAGAATAAACATACAACTAAGGGAGTAATACAAAGGGAGAAAGAGACCAGCAGGGAACTTTAACGGACTGATAAAGAGAAGCAAATCTAAATTTGACTTATAATTTACGACATTATTCTTTAATGAATTTTGACTATGACTAACAGGATTTATGGTTAACGCAATATGTTCAAAATATGCCTTTATTGCAGCCTAGAGAAGAGCCGTAGAGCTTCTACACACTTAATAGATCATACGGGACTAAGAGCTTGAAAGGAACTTGTGGCTGTTACCTATTAAATTTATCCATGTAATATCCCTGTATTGTGATTAAGGTTAGTCTTCATATACCTAATCTACGATTATGAAGCCATATCTAATTATACGTAGGAAACAGTAAAAGTACTAAGCGCCTGGCTGCTCATAAGTGATTGAATTTCGAATGTTATATTTTTAAAAACTTAAGAAATTCATTTAATCATTATAATAATTTTTAGCGGGATGTCGTGTATCAATTGTATTTTTTCAAAAGTTGAAGTTCGTCATACGTGGCATACATAAAGTAAAGGCGCAAAGACTTTAGGGCGATGATTTTATATGATGATTTTAAAAATTCACTCTCCACAAGATTGTACTGCTCGTCTTCAAAATGCTTTTTTGGAAAACCGCCTCATTTATCTCTATAAAGATAGCAGTGAAAAGTCAGCAGAAACATTCATTGCAAGAGTATAGTGTACATGTACATAATTACAAAAGAAGAAGAAAAGTGACAGGTGACAATTGTCCATATTTTGAAATATATCGTTTAAAATAACTATTTATTATAATATTATTTTATATATAATTATACATTTGATGCGAAAAAGGATGCTTTATACAGTGGTGTAAATTTCTATAAGCACAAATTTCACGAAAAATTTTAGGAGTGAAAAACGGACATTTTCGTGAACACCGCCGGATTTTGATGTTTGCCGAACCAAATCAGAAAGTGGCAGATTGTGTATTATCTCATATAAGGAAAGATTCCACGCCACGCAAGCCTTACAATTCCAACCCTGACATCAATAAATCAGGTGAGCCTAGCAATATGACTACTCGAAAGCATAAACACGACAACGACTTCTCAGAGGCTCTCAATCATTTTACCTCAGAGATACGTAGAACTTTACATGACTGGAAAAAGGAAATTCAAGATGAAATATCAGGAATTAAAAATAATTTAGACTTCGTATTAAAAACCGATCTTGAGAAACTAAATGCATCCTTTGCTGAGATCATGTCGGAACTAAGCAGCGTCCGTCAGGAATTTCACGAGATTAAAAAGTCGGTCATATCTCTTGACCTAAAGTACAACGAGACAATGAAGCAAATCACAGTTTTAGAAAACTCTGTACAATTCAATTGCGACCAATATGACCATGTTCAAAAGAAAATGGAATTATTATCTGTTAACAAAAAAGCAATCGAATCACTAGAATCTAAAATGGACTTATTGACTAACGAAAACAGACTATTACAATTGGAAATTAACACAAATAATCAAAGAGATCGCCTTTTGAACTTAGAGATCGTCGGCGTTCCTGAAATCAAGGATGAAGACTTAACCAATTTAATTATATCCATTGCTAAGCAGTCTAATGTAACTATTTCCCCTAATGATATATTAGAAGTTAATCGTGTCACACCGAAAATCAAACAACAGGGCCGCCCGAAAAATATAATTGCAAAGCTTAAATCCCGTCTTCTAAAGGACAACATAATCTCTGGCACTCGAAAAAACCGACTGACCACCAAAGACCTTGCCATACATGGCAGCGTTCGTCCCGTATATGTCAATGAGCATCTTACACAGTGCAATAAACTTCTACTAAAGAAATGTAGGGAGACGACGAAACTTAAGCAGTATCAATATGTGTGGATAAAAAACGGGAGGATCTACGTCAGGAAGAACGACACATCTCCGGCTTTGCATATATCACAGGAAAGAGACGTTTTAAAATTAATTTAATCTTACATTGTATATTGTTTTGTTCTCTTTTCAAGTACGTTATATTGCTTAAATTTATCAATTCCATCGTTGTAAAAGCAATTCATTGGTCTCTCTTATCTCATTTTGTCTATATTATATATCATTGTTTGACCGCACGTAAAGGGAGCTCAATTAATGAAATATTTTTGGTCTTAAGTGTATTAGTCACACGCGCGATAATTGTGCAGCTAAGTTGCATCCATATTCTTCACGAACGTTACTCAACTATATATATATTATGGTTTCTTTTACTATATCCTTTATATTTAATAAAATACCAATTATATTTTTTCTGGCGTCTTGTATATTATGTATTAATTTATTTTACTTTGTCAATCTATGAATTCATCTATTATATTGTTATTATTCATAATAATTACCCGTTCAATATTTATTTATTAAATCTAACAACAATACTTAAAACGTCTATATTGTTACATTCGCGATATTTATATATATATTTAATAACTGCTCTGCATATTTATAAGCTCGCACCCTTTTATGTTGACTCGACTTTATTAATCAAATCGTTTAAGGATTCATTCTGTTATATCTTATTGATAAATTTTATACTCTACCACCTTATACAAAAAATCAAGTCACTATTAACTAGCAACTGCCGAAGTGATATATCATTGTTCGTACTACTTAAGTCTAACGTAAACAAATTATTAGTTCTGTTACTCCGTGTAGCTTTAAAGTACTATAAATTTAACACAATTGGGTACATATTTGATTTTGATTAATGGCTGTAAATAATTTGTACTGTTATTATCAGAATGTTCGTGGTCTTAGGACTAAATGTCTTGAATTACGACTAAATATTTTGACGAACGATTACGACATTATAATTATGACAGAATCATGGCTACACAGTGGAATTTTTGATGGTGAATTGTGCGACGATAGGTATGACGTGTTCAGGGCTGACAGAGATTTGCGTAATAGTGGGAAAAGTACTGGTGGTGGAGTATTAATACTGACACGACGTACACTCGGTGCCATGTATCGTGACCTCGGCGAATGCGGTCTTACTGAGCTATTGTGGATTACTATTCCTTCAAGCGCGTGCGCTTCAAATTCCAACTTACATATTTG